CCTGAAAATAATTGCACACCTTAGAACAGCCACTTAGTCAGCCAAACAGATTCAAGCATTCAATGGCCCGTAGTGTAAGTATATTTAATCCATGCCATGCTGTATGATTAAATCATTTTACATCCTCTTTCTCTCTTTCACAGTGAAGCTGGGTAACTACAAGGCCTGTGTGACACACTTTGAGAGGGCACTGGACCGGGCAAAACTGCTGCAGGATGTCTCTGCCAGCGAAGCCATCCAGAAGGTCAACACAGACATTCCTATCCTGCTCTCTCACTCTCTCCCTCATCCCTCTCACCATCCATCTCGCCTGTGGCCTTTTCTATAATCCCATTCAAACTACAATCAGGCAGTTGTCATTTGCTATATAGCAGAGTAAAGAGTACCTGAAAACCATACTTGAGTAAAAGTACAGATACCTTACAGCGAAAATGACTCCATTACAAGTTACCAATTACAAAACAACTTGAGTAAAAGTCTTTATCTGATTTTGTCTTTATCTGATCAGTATCTGATTTTAACAGTACTTAGGTATTTTACTCATACTGAATCACGGCTCAAAGATGCACTAGTCCTCAACACCTAAAGAGCCGCTCACACCAAGAACGATAACTGTATTAGCGTCCACACCAGCAGATGATATCGTCGGTTTATTCTACGCGCACGCTCGTCTGCCGCTTTAAATTCTTGAGCTCATTATAGCAGGATTCATTCTGATTGGCTGTCAATATTTTTATCATTCATCAGCTGGAAAAAAATGCTCTGAAAGTGATTTCAACGATATCGTTTCTCTGTGCTTTTATAGGCGTAGCTTGACGTTTGAGTTTGGGGGGACCAAACCAAACCGGTGGATTTGGTCAGACGTACTTTTAAACAGATTTTAGTTTTTCTATAGTAAATCTACATATTCACATTCACATAGAGCAGGTGGCAAGTGCGTGAGGTTGTCATGGTAACCACATACATTGCCCACGAATTACAGCTGCGCTTCTATTTTGTCACACTAAACTTAGCAATAAACGCGTTTAAAATGCACAATAAACATGTCTATCAAAACGATCTCAAAGGAGGCTTTTATTAAGCAAATCAAGGAGTGAATTACTCCTCCAATCTTTTTAAAACAGACATGTGTTGGGCTTGATTCAAGTTAATGCACAATGAGGCGCACACTTTTTATTTAGTCTTATTGAATAGACGATAAACTGTTTATATTCTCAAATCTATTTAAAGGTTGTGTTCTGTGAAAATTAAATAACATTTGGATGTAAATGGTCGGCATAAAAGTAGTGTGCGGCTAACCCGGCTGCGTCCTGTGGATCACCTTTATCTGATTGTCCGGGTCCTGAATCATCAAGCACGGCATTAATATCTTCAGCTGAGTTTTTCGTTGTCTCCAGATTTCTCTGCAGTTCGTGTATGTTGTTAAAAACGCGGAACATCATTTTATGCCACGCAACAGGCAAGCATTACCGTTAAGTCTATTATCCACCAAAATGCAGATTTGTCACGTGACAATTCTTACGCAAATGAGATTGAGGGAGACGTTAAATTTGTTTTGATTTATTAATTTACTTACAATAACAATTTAAAATGTATTTACTTTTACGTATTCACTTTTACATGTAATATTAACTGCATTAAATAAATTTTTTACTTCATAAAGAAAACTTTATAAATAAATATTTAGTACAATTGTACAAAATAGTACAAAACCCTGAACTTCCATAAGCAGAGCAATTAGTTAGTTAGAACATGGTTTCACATTTTTTAAATACATAATATGAACAGATAATTGTAATATTAACATGCATTCATTGATCAATTTTCATTTCATTTTCTTGTATGTTATCCGATTCTTGACTATCCCATTCCTCTGATATCATATTTTTTTCATGTTGATGTTACTGTATATTAATTGATTCACTTTAATCAATTCCTCAATCTCTCGCCCTGCAGGCTCTTCGTGAAGCAAGACACAGAGTGATTCAGTAAAATGGCCCCTCTGAATAAAATGGCTGCAATCGACTCCATCCTCCTCCAAGACAAGTCAGAACTAATGCATCCTTACTAGTGGAATAAAGTTTGCCTGAGGAACATTGTGTTGGATTGCAGTCAGTGTCATTGGTGAAGGATTACTTTATGACTGCCTTTTCTGTGCTTGTTTCCATATGGATAAAAATATATTTTGCATAGTTTTACATAAATAAACTCTCAGTTTCAGAGGTATAACAAATCATGTTTTATATTTGTGATGCCGTGTCCAAGCAATGTTGCCCAGATACTGTTAATGTCTTGCAATAGACACAGACATGCAGTGACCTTCTGTTTTTTAATTCATAATCCAACCATAAAGGTTTGAATTGAAAATCATTCAAATGAGTTTAGCTTTGACCTCCAATTTTACACTCCACCTTTTGAGTCGATATTGACCTTGATTGTGTGCTCAACAGAACTGACAGAATGCTTAACGCATTACTCCCAGTTTGTGTGTGAGTATGTTTGTATGGGTTATATATCTTCTAATTATGCGAACATACCACAAACACTTGTGAGAAAGCAGCCACCCCCAACTTGCATTTGTTCTGAACTCCACTGTGATAGGCTGAAGCAGTGATTCTTAACTGCGAAACCTGTCTGTGCAATGTCAGAACACATAACCACTCAAAAATCCTGCATACTTTTCACACGTCCCTCACGGATATCAACAAGACACAGCATGAACACTCCAGCTGTTTTGCTAGGTATGCTCCTGTATAACTGGCATGTAAACATGGATTCACAAAACAGGAGGTGCCTGCGGATCCTTGCGGGTTTTACTCTTTACAAACTTCATTTTAAAACACAAACAATTTAAATTAATACTTTGATCATTTTGATTGGCATGTATTCACTATAATATTTTATGACAATCATAATTACAATAACCTTTAGGGTGACCATACGTCCACTTTTTCCCGGACATGTCCTCTTTTTGGACCTAAAAAATAGAACTCCCAAAATGTCCGGGATTTGGCTTTTGCTTTCTACAATCACCATTCATTGTGTGCGTTTTTGTATTAGAGCCCTGCGAGGGACTGTTTTCTTAATCCCGCTCCCGCTGAATTTCTGACCATTATCGCCCGCTCCTGTTCTGCTCCCGAGATGTTCTGTGTCCATTCCGCCCGCTCCCACAAACATTCTAACATTCTACATTCTCTGGTGGTGGTTCGAGATCGATTCCGAGATCACGCGCGCTCAGTGTAAAGGAAGATCAGATATGTTTCAATGAGCTCAGGATCTGTTGAGCAGCAAATCCTTCAGCATGGTCTGTCAGCCATCTCTCCTCTCAACCCGTGATCAGTCAAATCTGACTCCTATAGCTTGTGTTGGATGCAGGGATGTCAAGCCCGCGTTTTCCCCCCATGGAATTGGGCTACTTTTAAACTGTTGCCATGGGTTGATTTTTCCCCTTGGATTAAAGGTTTGAAATCTTGCATAAATTACATTTGTCTGAAATGCTTGTATTGACACATTTTGCACTCTGCCTATGGTAAAACTGTGCTGTTCAGTTTTGTGAAGGAGGGCCACTGGTAGGAAGCTTTTTAGCTGTGTTTATGATAAATAACAGTCACTGTAAAATATGTATTTTAGGTATGGAAATGACATATTTTGAGTGTTGATATTTGGGATATGGTCATTATGCTACTTTGGGCACTACGTTAACCACCAACCAACAACACTCCATCCCGCCCGAACCCACTGTCCTCTTTTTGGAAAACTAAATATGTGACCCTGGACCACAAAACCAGTCTTAAGTCGCTGGGGTATATTTGCAGCAATAGCCAAAAAAAACATTGTATGGGTCAAAATTATCGATTTTTCTTTTATGCCAAAAATCATTAGGATATTAAGTAAAGATCATGTTCCACGAAGATATTTTGTAAATTTCCTACCGTAAATATATCTAAACTTAATTTTTGATTAGTAATATGCATTGCTAAGAACTGCATTTGGACAAATTTAAAGGCGATTTTCTCAATATTTAGATTTTTTTTTTTTTGCACCCTCAGATTCCAGATTTTCATATATTTTTCAATAGTTGTATCTCAGCCAAATATTGTCCTATCCTAACAAATCATATCCTAACAAACCATACATCAATGGAAAGCTTATTTATTCAGCTTTCAGATGATGTATAAATCTCAATTTCGAAAAATTGACCCTTTTGACTGGGTTTTGTGGTCCATGGTCACAGATATGGTCACCGTACTTTACTGAGTCTGCTTGTGCGAGGCTTGAAAAAATTGATACATTTGTTTGCCACCTTGTCTTTTTCAAAGATTGTTGCAATACATTTACGCAGTAGGCAAATCAAATGTAAAGGTTTGAATTCCTTTAATGGCCTACTGAATATCTGTTCTCAGTCAGTGACAGTGTATCAAAATGGAAACAGTTTGCTTTACAAGTAGCCTATACACAATGCGTTTGGGGGCGATTGTTTTACAAGAATGTTGACTTTTTAAACGAATTCTAAACTTCTGTGAAGTTTATTATATATAAACAATTACATTTTTTTGGGGGGGGGCGCAAAGTTTCGCAAAATTCCGCAACGCAGTCTACTTTCACGCCGCTATTACGCATAGCTAAACACCAAATATATACATTTTATATTTTTAAATTTTTTTAACGTAACACAATTTTTGTGATATATTTGTGATGTGCAAATATTTGATAGAGTGATGAATAATAAAAAGTACTTTAATGCTTTATTAACGGCAATCGCGACTTCTGTTCGTTGGCGTCTAAAAACAGCGTAAAACAGACCCCCAACCTATAATTTGCATCATATGCTAACTTAAAGGACTTACAGTTTTTAAACTTAAGATCAACTTAATCATTGATATGAAATTAAAGGTAAGACTGAACTGTATTAATGGAGTAATTAAACCACATGATAATTGATGAGCAGTATGATGAGACAAAACAATCCGGGTGCTGACGTGCACTGCGAGGCGGGAGCGCGCTCTGTTGCCTCTCCCTTCCGTGTCCGCGCTCTCGTGCACGCAGGGAGCGTGCTCAAGTGCCATTGGTTTCCGTTTTGTTTCCTGATTATTGCTAGTGCTCGGCCAGGCGGGGGTTCTGCGCAGCGCTCTGGAGAAACGTGGAATTTGGCTGTACGGCGCTTTGAACCTTCAGCCTCGGAAAACGGTGACAGCTTTTCATACATCTACCAACGCTGAACTCAAGTGAGTTGCATTTACGCTGATCACTGACTGTTATGTTTTAATCTTGTAGATCGTATTTGCAACAAGTAAGTTTGGTTATGCAAATCAAAAACTTTATCGAAAACAAATATTTTAGATGTAACAAATAATTGGTGTTTCTGACATGTGCTTTCTTTCCCAGCTGCGCTAGGCATTGCCACCCTGATTTGTTTTGTCTGCATGCAGCGTGGCTGGGGCACTGCCACTCCCCGAATCCATGGCTTTGCATTGTTACCGTTAATTAACGGGTTCGCTTATTTGGTCATATTCATCTACGAGCCTTTATAGATTTAGACATTCATTTAATGAAGTGTAGTCCGCGTTACTTTTAAATCGGCGCACAATTTTTCCACTAAGTTGTCTAAATTCGTGTGCGCAATGTCGCTAAAGCTAGTACCGTTATAAGAGCGTAACGCGTGAGCTCAGCTTGATGCTGTTTGAGTGAATCTATTGGGCGTTTTGGGTTTTCTTTTGTCTTCCATAGATTAGGCGGCGTGTACGAATCTAATTTGGTCGCACAAAGGCTGCGTGAGAATCAAAATCCAGTGAGCTGCCTACTGGAAAGCAATTGGGCACCAGACACATTGAAATGACTCGGAACGTGTTTACTTCCCAGAAATGCTGTCTAAGTAGGCAGCACACTTGATATTAAGACACCGCCACAAAGAAGTGGCCCAAATGAAGTGCAGGTGTTAGTGTCTCACGACTCACTGCTGGGCTCCTGTTTTTCACATGCTTTCATCAGAACCTGGAACGTGCCCAAGGTTAAATTAAAGCTTTGTTGGTGTAAAATCGGGCCACTGCATAGAGAAGTTAACAGTTAGTGGCAGTATGTTGTAAAGGTGCCTTTTGAACCCATTAGCTGGGAATTGTCGCCTGGCTGATATGAAGGTTTGCCATTTGATTAAGCTGTGAAGATTTGCATTGCTCTATAAAATGGGGAACAGATGTATTTTGGCCAGAAGGTGATGACGACAACTGGTTTCACAATGAAAAAGTCATTTGACATCTGATGACTCGAAAGCACAACCTAATCATCTGGGCTACAGCTGAACTTCTGCTTATTAATCTGAAATCTAACATTAGGAGACCGCGACATAACGGTGCAAAGTATCGTTAAAACCGAAGACTCCAAGCATACAGAGTTTCTGTGGTTTACTTGCAAAAAAAAAAAAAGAGTAATATGGATAAAAAGCAAAGGAGTAATGTGTAGGCCAGAGAAAAAGCAGCTCATGCATTGGCAGTCTCATGCCTACTCCGATTTCACTAGAAATGCACAGTGGTGTTTTATTTCAAATGAATCCGAGTGTGCATTGGTCTAAACAGAGCAGTGGTTTTCAGATTTGCTCGAAAGGACGAGAGCTGGACTCTGTACAGAGGTTGCAGAACTCAAATATGCAGTTGTGGGTAGTAAAATTGAAGTTTCCAAGTGCCTACGTACTGTGAAGGGTCTGAAGAAGTGGTCATTTTAACTGCCATGTTCAGGTGGATAGTTTCTGTTAATCTTTACCAAGCGTTCCTGGAGCTGCCTGTCATTTAACCACTTGTTCACATTTGCATGCAGTTCTCACACTATTCATCTCATGTACAGCGTAATCTCTAGTAAAATGCATTCACACTCACTCTTGCCAAATATACCTTGTTTATCAGAAGCGGCCTGCTGTGTAGCAATGGAAGCTGAACAGAATCGGGAAGTTCCAGAGGCTGTTGCTGAGACACAGGAAGCGGCGGTGCAACAAGAGGAGAAATCGGAGCCTAGGTCTGAAGAGGTGGCACCTTCAGAACCAGCAGATCCTCCAAAAGCAGCCCGTAAACCAGAGAAGACCCCAGAGAACGAGCCTTTGGCTGGGGAATTGCCAGAAAAGGAGAAAGCGACAGACTCTGAAGCACCTCCTGCCAGACCATCTGAACCCGAGGTGGCTCTGGAAAAATCTCCTAAGGAAACCCCGGCTGCCGAGTCTTCTGAGAAACCTCCTGAGCCAGAACAGCAGAAGAAGTCTGAGGAGCCACAGGTTCAAGTGAATTCTGAACCTGAGAAGCAGGAGGAAGAAGCTGTGAAAGAGGTAGAGCCTAAGAAAGAGGAGTCTGCCAAAGAGGCAGAGTCCAAACCCACTGCTGTGAATGAAGCCATGCCAGAAGAATCTGATAAAGGTGAGGAGACAAAGACAGAAGGAGGAGAGGATAAGGTACAACCAGAGGCTGATGGAGTTCAATCAGGAAAAATCTCCTAAGGAAACCCCGGCTGCCGAGTCTTCTGAGAAACCTCCTGAGCCAGAACAGCAGAAGAAGTCTGAGGAGCCACAGGTTCAAGTGAATTCTGAACCTGAGAAGCAGGAGGAAGAAGCTGTGAAAGAGGTAGAACCTAAGAAAGAGGAGTCTGCCAAAGAGGCAGAGTCCAAACCCACTGCTGTGAATGAAGCCATGCCAGAAGAATCTGATAAAGGTGAGGAGACCAAGACAGAAGGAGGAGAGGATAAGGTACAACCAGAGGCTGATGGAGTTCAAGCTGAGCCTCCAAAAGAGGCCGAGACCAAGCCGAAAGAGCCAGAGCTGCCTTTGTTCTTTGGCTGGTTCCTGCTTCCAGAGGAAGAGGAACGAATTAAGTGTGCAACCATGGACTTTCTCAAGACCCTGGACACTTTGGAGGCCTTCAAAGAACACATCAGTGAATGTGAGTGGACTGTGTAAACAAATACACTTGTGTTTCTCCTCCGAGTTGGTGTGTTTGTAGTGCTGATTTTATTTAATTTTTTTCCCAGTTACTGGTGAGGCGGAAAAAGAAGTGGATCTTGAGCAGTATTTCCAGAACCCATTGCACCTCCACTGTACTACAAAGTTCTGTGATTATGGGAAAGCAGAGGGGGCAAAAGAGTATGCAGAGCTACAGGTTAGTTTTCCACACAAGCCGTTTTCTTAGATGTGTCATATCATGTAGTGCAAATGTATGTGCTCCGATGTGTTTTTGGAATCAGATCCCTGCTTGAATATAATATAATTGCAGTCAATAACTAATATTCTGGCAAAAATGTCTATCTTGTTTTCCAGTATAAAATATTACATATGTAATTTTACAGTTGAAAATCAGTCATCATAATATTGATGGCGGAACCCCCTTTATATTATCAGCTTCTAATATCAACAAATTCAGACCAATACTGATAATTAAATATTACTAATATCTGCCAATACTTGTATGGTATCTAATATGTAACATTCCCTGAAAATTTGTTAGTGATGATTGTCAAATCTGTCCTTTAAGTGTCTGAAACGTGCTATATTGATAACACTTTACAATTCAAATTAAACAATCAATGAGAGATCATGAACTTACAATAGATTTATAATTATCATCTTGTTCATTTTTGTTTTTTGTCTATTCTTTATCTCGATTTTTAATGTTTATTTACCTTTTGTAGCTGACTTGACCCTTTTCTTGCCATGATAATTTATTAGCATATGGCATATTTATTAGTTTATTTTGCACAATTTAAAAAATATATATGAAGGAAATTGCAAGACAATAACTTTTTTTATACAGTGCCAGGAGAAGCTGAAATCCCATAAGGGCTTATTTAAAGCCTCCACCTAAACAACATGTTCACAAAATTATTAGGAGAACTAAATCAAAATGCCGAAATATAATGACATCCAACAAAATATATATATATATAACAAATCAATAATAAAAAATGTGAATGTAGATTAATAAATGCTGAAATTGTTTATTAGTAGTTCATGAAACCGAATGCATTAATGTTAATAAAACCAAAATATTAATACAGTACGTATTTGGCCATATTTTGTCTTGCAGGTGGTCAAGGAATCACTTGCCAAGTCTGATGAGCTTTCCGTCACTGCTCTCATAGTGACCCCTCGTATATTTGGGGCCCGTGTGGCTTTGACGGAAACCCAGATGAAGCTGTGGCCCGAGGGAGAGGACAAAGAAGGGGTCGCTCCAGCCCTCATGCCCAGTGTTGAGGCTCTTCCAATGGGTAGCCGTGCCCACGTCACATTAGGCTGCTCGGCAGGCGTGGAGGCGGTTCAGACCGGTTTGGATTTGCTGGAGATACTGGCTCTGCAGAAAGAGGGCAAGGAGGGCACCCAGGTCGAGATGGACTTGGGTACTTTGTCCTACCTAAGCGAGGGCCGTTGGTTCCTCACCCTGAGGGAACCGATTACTGCAGACACCACCTTCTCTAGCTTCTCCGATGACAAGCCCACCAATGACCAGGGCAAAAAGGATGGAGAGAAGAAAAAGAAAAAGTGTACCATTCTGTGAGGAGGAGGAGGAGAAGAGGGGGGGGGGGTGGAGACATTTTTCCTAAGGGCTCCGGCCCTCGGTTGGCTGAGGATGATGTGTTTTTGCATGTGTGTAGGTGGATTGCGTGTATGATTCGCAGCTTTAGTGTGTGCACAGGGATGGCTTGGGATGATTTGGCAGGTAGTGTGAGACCAGACGTTCCAAAGTGGCCTGCTGGCTCCCGGCTTTCTGTTAGCTGGTGCCTTTTTTCCTTTTGCCTGGCAACACAAGCTCCGAGGCCTTAGTATCTGCCTTAAGGTCATGGATCACTCTGCGTTAGGTGCTAGTTCGCATGGCTTTTTGGCCGCCACACCATCCTTGTTCCCTTTACACAGGTACATTCATGATCAGTCTTCCTTACACGTGACACTCATGTAGAACACTTTATAGATTTAGCACAACTTTACTGGTTTGATTAACTGATTTATACTCTGTTCCAGCTCAGTTTTTGTTGATTAGTCTAGGTGCAGTTTCAAATTCAGTTTGAGGCTGTATTTTTAGAAGGTTTGCATTCTAAATTTACATTTAGATCTTCGATTTCATGAAATGGAGCATTTTGATCCTTCATCACAGGAAGTTTTGGTATGGAGTATAAATTTGTTAGTTTAGTATGTGGTTCTTCGGGGTCCCTCTCTTTCTTCAGCCTTTGTGGAGCTGATCATTTCCAAGAATTCATGCTGCATCGTTGTTATAATCTTACCGATAGTGATCTGTTGTGTGTGTGTGCATGCCTTTTGCCAAAAAAAAAAGACCTTGTTAATCTCTCACAATCGCGTAAAATTCACCAAGGTTTTTCTTTTTATTGAATACATCAAAACATCTCTGACATGTTTTTAGGCTAAAATGTGTGTGTGTCTGTCTGTGTATGAAATAGTGTTCTGTCATAAACTTATCGTTTACACAGTGTTGGTCAGACCATCGGAGACCCCTTCATTTGCTGAATTTACAGCCTGTCACGTTGGATGAGAAATGCCTGTACTTCTCTTCATTATATCTGTACGATCAGCTCTTTCATAAACCAGTATGTTCACGTGTGCTAGTAAATTTACTCTCTCTCATTCATATCAATGAAAAAAAAATTTGCTCTAAATACTGTGACAAGAATCTTTCTGGTGCCTTCCTCTTCTGTAGGTTTCTAGATGGCCGAAGCCATGCTTCTCGTAGGTCTGACATCAAGGCACTAATTTTTTGCACTTACCTTGTTTTTCATTTGCTTTTGTACACTTAATAAAGAATGTGCTTGGCTCTGATAACCCTGGCTTTCTGTTCTTGCTGTAAGTGTATTCATTTCTTGTTTTTAGGATTTCAGTTTTGTTAGCTCCTAATTAAGGATGTGCATGTAATTATTTATTCCAAATGGGTGGTTTCATGCTCATTCCACTTCAAATAGTTTCAACCTTTACCCAAACTTGCCAATGTGTAACTGCAGCTGAAGTTTGGTTCCTAATCAGAACCAGTTTCTGGTTTCATAGGAAATGTAATTCTTTAAAATGCAGGGGAAGTAACTATAGTTTAAGTGGCTTATGAATATACATCATCTTAATTATTGACAGCATAAGCCTCTTTCTATTCATAGTTCATTCAATGTGACTCAGTGTTCTGCTTTTGCCAGTAGGTGGCGGTTGTCTCCACTAAAAGCTTCTAGATGGAGCACAATAGTCATGCTGCTGCAGCTCAAGAGCTAGTGAGTTGACCAACCAGAGGCGAGAATATGTTGGTTTTGTCTTTGTATAAATAATCCCTCCCACATATATTTATCTCTCTCGGACATGCAATATTTTATTTGTATCAGCATATCAGGCGATCATTTCCTGCCAAGTCTTATTTCTCTAAATATGTAGCGGATGTGTGTTTTTATTTATATATATATATATATATATATATATATATATATATATGCATGCGTGTGTGTTTTCACAACTGTGCAGGCTTTAACAATTTGGAGCCAGAAGATAAAATAACTTCATACAGCTAATGATTTTCTTGCAACTGGACACTGACCCTGTAGACCTTATTCAGGTGTAAACAGCTGTGACTTTCAGACTTTACAATGGCACACACGGTGTAAAACCACGTAATTTTCACATTAATATTTCAAAAATGAAATACCACTACCCTGACTAAGATCTATGCCACGCTGGTAAACTTGTGGTCTCCAAACTGACTTATCAGAGTCTTGCTTCTGCAAACACTGTTGACATCCAGTGATCAATGCTTATGTTTCTATTTAAAGCCTGTACTGTCTGTTTTGTGATTTCAGGTTGAGTCATGTCTCCTGGCTAGAGCTTTTCAAACCCATTAACTGATGCTGCTATGGACAGAGGAGCCAAACAGTGCATTAGCAACAGCCAGTGCGGCAGTGCCCTTTGTAAAGGCCAATTAATTCACCTGAAAAGCTCCGATTTTATCTGACGTGGAGCATTAGATATGGAGCTAATTTAATTTTAAATGACTCCTGTGCAAAAGACGGGAATGTGCTGCCTGGCTTTGAGAAAGCCTCTGAATTTGTGTATATTGATTAATGATTCAGTCTTTGGTTAGCAAATGTGAGCATTATTTTGTGAAAATAATGGTTGTTGTTTTCTGATTATAATTTATAAGTGATTAAAGTGATTATAAATTAAATACTCTAATTATTACAATATGACCTGCATACGTGACCAGACTGTGCGTGCAGTATGGCGCAATTGCTAGCAATGATTGTTTGCTTGTCTGGCAAAATAGAAATAATTGTGACAATTTTAGAAATCGCCACTTTCAAAAGTCGGTCCACATTGCACATTCGGGTCATTTTCCGTCCGGTCCGATGAATCGTTCACTGTTCGAGTGGGCGTGGCCTCGGATCACAGCGGATGGCGAGAGCCAATCAGAGACAGAAGAAATCAGCCAAGGCCATCGTCAGATGTCGGCGTAGAGAAAACATGAAAGGCTGAAAGCGCAGTGAAAGAGGGAGCGAGCGAGCGAGCGAGCAGCCACGCTTTCTGGAGGAAAAAGTGTCTCCTGCAACCATATCTCGCCTGTCAACACTCTCAGCCAGACTCTGTACACTAGGAGCTTCCTGAAAGGAGAAAACCTGCTAGAAGCGTTAGAAGTGCATGCACTGGTAAGTGACTTAACCTCAGCGTACTAGTAGCCTAATTAGGGATGGGCGTATCGATCCTAAGTATCGATATATCGATACTGACGCGAGTATCGAAAGTATCGATACTCAAACTAAAAATATCGATACTAAGGTGTGTTTTATTTACCAGTGATTTCGTTTATTTAAAATAATAATAATAATAATAATGCGTACAAATGCATTGAATTGAACAAATAACCTTTGTTCGCAAGTAATTGTGTAGGATAGAATTATTTTCCTGCTCATCTGAACACACGCAAATGTTGCAAGACAGAACTAATCAATCACAGAGAGCGTTCACTCACTGCTGACAGCGCATTCAAACAGGGCTGCGTTTCCCAAAAGTATCATAAGAAAGCATTAAAGCTTTTGGGAACGGCAGCCCTGAGCAATGCTTATCAGAGGACAGAAAAAAACATATGTTTGAGTTATTTCACAATAAACAAATCGTAGCCTACATAGTTTGTACAATTACATTTATTTAAATTGAACGTTGAAAGATAATATAGATCATGTTCTATTCAGTAATGTTAATAGAAATCATACACTGTCAGAACAAAAAGGTTGCATTTTATGGATGCAACAGCCGGTCACTGGCAGTCCCTTATGATAATGAACCATGGTTTTACTAAAGTGACCATAGTTCAACTGTAGTATTTGTAGATTTGAATCATGTGTAAACAAAAACACATTTGAACCATGTGCAAACAAAAATATAACCTAATAAATTACAATTAAGGCGTATTGAATGTTAAAATGTGTTTTAAACAAAGTTAAGTGGTTATCATTACCCATTTTACTCTTAGTAATTTAATAATTTAATACATTTCATCATTTAAAAGTTTAGTTCAGAAGTATCGTATCGGTATCGGTATCGACGATACTGCCTTGAAAAATATCGGTATCGTATCGAAAACAAAATAAGTGGTATCGCCCATCCCTACTAGTAATATAAACAGTGGATACTGAAAGCAGTCTCTCATTTGCAAGTACATTTAGCGAAAATAAGAAACAGAAAATATATAAACGTACAGTGACACAGCTCTTTCTGCCCAAAACACTGTTTGGATCAGGGTGACGAACTCTAGCTTAGCTTGTCTACATGTTATTTTGATCATGAAAATCAGTCATACGTTACAGACCCGTACGTTTTACCTGTAATTTAAATGAATGAATGGCTTCGTTAACACCTTTCACATATACGGAAGTGTAAAATGCGTTTTATGTTCTTCAAAAACAAAACAAAACACACAAGAAGCTTTAAAAGAAATGAATTAAATTCAGCTCATTTCCTTTAGTTAATTAGAGTCTAGGCTGGAGACAAGATGATACTCCTTAACTTACCAGTATTTATTTTGTCTAATATTATCTTTCAATTATTAGTATGTAATTAAATAGTGACCAGTATGATTTTTGGTTTCACTAGTTGCTATTAATTAGATTTGGCACTTGCACACTGCTACTAGTTCCATCAGAGACTGATACCTAATTCAATTAGTCACCAGTGCATATTGCAGTTGTTACTAGTCAATTAGTCACATGTGCTTTAGACACTAGTACTTATTCCCTTGCTACTAGTCACTATCCCAGTATTACCAAGCAACTATTCCATTGGTATAGTGACTAGTAGCAAAGGAATTAGTATTTTGTGAGTAGTTACTAGTGAAACGAGTGGATTACTTGCTAGTGATTAAAAGATAAAAAGTACTAGTAGCATAACTAACATACGGATTAGTTTGACAGGAGGAATAAATGTTTAAATGGATTTCTGTAGTCAGGAATTTAATTAAAGCAAATTAAAGTGAATCAGCTTTTGGATGAAGCATTATATAAGCTTGAGCTCAAATAATGAAGATCCATCCATGCTTTAGATCAGGGGACTCCAACCTTATTTCATTCGAGAGCTACTTTTTAAAAATAAAAGTGTCTGAGAGCTACCCATACTTAAATCTCTTAAATAATGTATCAGTTCAAACAAGTTATACACAGTATTGTTAAAATGTGCTGGAAAAAGTACTGATACACAACCTGAAATCATTTTATGTAGAAAAACATCAAATAAAATTAGCAGCACTATGCACTTTTTGTTTGCACAAACATTGAAATAAAAACCTTAAAAACGTTGTCTGGATTTTAAACTAGCAAAAAAAATATTCATAACATATTATCTACTGACATGTTCTGCATGTTCAAGTAAAGTTTTGACCCAAAAAAGTTTTATAAAATGATAAACCTCACATTTCAGCCTTGAAATATTTTGTGAAAAGGATGTGTCAGAATGATAAATTATATTTTATCTCCTCCATAAACAGTTCTACATAAGCTACTATTCATTAAAAATCTCAACACTTCGGATAACAAGGTAGCCTATTTTCCATCGACCGGTTAAGATTTACTACAAAAATGTGGTCTGCTTTTTGCGTTAGTCTGGACAAAATTGGCAGACAGGCTGAAGGAAAATGTAGATCCACTGTCTGAGAGCAGGGGCTGGTTGCATAAAAGGCTTAGACTTGTCTTAAAAGTTAGTCATCTAAAAAAAATTAAGACTGCTCGTAACTTTTTTTGAAACGCTTACATAAAAATGTAGCTTGGCCTAACTTGAATCTGAAAAATAGCCTAAGAATTCTT